CGAAGACTTGATGTTGATGACAATCCCATCTTTCCCTCTTCTTCGTCTAACCCCCCTCTTCTTTGTCTGTGTATGGTTGGGGACTGGCACATTCCTCCTGTGTGAGCGCCAGGCCCCTTCACACCATGGAATGATGATGATGATGATGTATGTTTGGGGCTGCATTGCAACATTGATTGTACGGATCATTGGCATCTAAGTCTTCCGATACGCTATCTTGTACTTCGTGAGAGAGGTCGGTTCGGTTCTTGTTCTGCTCTGCACCATTACGGTATGCGACAGATAGTAACCATCAATGACCACAAAGAGAGTAGCCCAACATTTCCCACTCCTCCTCCAGGCTTCCCCTCCCCTCCACGTCAGCACAACAGTATCTAGTAACGAGCCAGACAGGTCCTGGTCACATCAAAGTGCCACGTGACACAGTTCTGTCGTGAAGACCTTCGAGACAACCAGCAGCGCACAGTATCGACATCAACCCGAAGTAAGGATCCCGATCCCTCTCAATCATCCACAGATCCCAATCGCCCTCCTTGTCACGTCCAACTCCGCAATGTAGACAATGTGGCAAATGCCACATCAGTAATGAAGACAGAGTAGCATGTGCCACATCAGCAATGTTGAAGACAGCGTGGTCCTGCACCACATCAGCACAGGCTGGCGCCAAAGCAGAAGGCGCCAGTTTGCAGCAGCAGTCTCGCGTCGTTGTCTGCAGTGCCAGCGTACAACCAGCGTCCAGCCAGCGTCAAGCCAGGGTCAAGGCAGCATAGCAAGACTGAATGTTGACTCCCTGGAGGCCACGCCTTATGTAATGGGCCTTGTGTAATGTTCGACGAGGCTGACCGGCCTTAGGTCTCCCACCCATTGTGGCTCAGATTGACTCACAGCCGAGGGCCTGGATTGCGTACAGTTACAGACTTCCACTCGGTCCTGATCCTGTCTTGGTACCTCCATACAAACAAGTGTGTGTGTCTGACCGGCGGCCGGGGCTGGGTGCATGCAGACTTTGACTCGTGGGCCACTGGGCAGTTGACCATGGTCATCCGTCGGGCGCACAAGACCCTAAGCCTACTTGGGTTTTCCTCCCCTTTGGCCTCTGCGGCCTCGGACTGGGGTCGCGGCCTGTGTGTGGCCCTGAGGTCACCTCAGAGCATATTGAACGGGGTATTGCACTAGTGAATACTCCATTGGCACTGTACTTCAACGGTACAACGGGAAGGTTATAGGCCTGTAGAGTTCATGTACCCTCGGTTGCTTAGCACGAAAGTTGTTCCGTCAACCTAGGTGTGGGAGTTGTTTGCACTCAAGGCAATGTTAAAACATTGGCTGTATTATCTGTTAGGCAAGCATTTCACGGCATACCTACGTTGGGCCGAAGACCCAGGCCAGTATGTCCACTAAGTTAGCAAGATGTGCCATAAAATCAACGAATTTGACTTTTTCGTTGAAACCCGTCAAAGGTCAGTATAACGTGGTTGCAGACGTGCTAGGTAGACAGGCAGATTACTTTTTCGGGCCTGCAGTGATATTATGAGAGGGTAGGTACCATGGCTACGATCTGGACGTCCGGACCGCCGCCCAGACGGCCTGGACTCAGTCAGGCGTCCGGTCTGGAAGCTAGATCTGCCAAATTTCAGGGGGGGGAACATTCCAGGAGCCAAGCCCCCAGAATTGTTTTGAGGGATTTTAAGGCTCGTGTTTGTTTTTTGGGGGGGTTCGGCGCGTCGCAGATTGTGTCAGGCTGGTACCCGGAGTGTCAGGCCGGTAAAAGTCCAGTCAGGTACCCGACAAGAAAAGTCCCAAGTCCAGCAGCATCCCAATAAAGTCCCAAACTTACCGGACCGACAAAATGATGCAACAGACAACTAGCAGGTGACCAGTGCCGGTCAGAAGCAGGCCAAGCATCATCAAAGTTCCTATACATAGCTGCTAGCCTGCTACAGTGTAGAGGCTCATCAATTGTCTATTCGCTAATTGCGGAAGCGCTGTTGGTGGCTTGTGCAACTGTGCGACCTGGGCAGAGAGAGCCTGGAGGAGGAAGAAGGCGCCGTGGATACTCTGTAGCTAGGGTTCAGTAGCGGAGGGTGGCGGCCATAACCGGCAAGGTTGACGATGAGTCTGGGCGGGTGTATTCAGGGTTAGGACCTAGGGTAGTGGACAGTCTGAGGCTGAGCGATACAAGCGTGCGTGCGCGCGCGCGCGCGAGAGAGAGAGAGAGAGAGAGAGAGAGAGAGAGAGAGAGAGAGAGAGAGAATCATGTGTTATGCCAGGGAGTCAAGTACATATGTGGCATACAACGTAGCCACACAGGCCCTGCAGGGCCCGTCCCGAACTTTCAGCCTAAAAGCCTAAAAGTTAGGGCTTACAGGCCCCAGTCGTTTCAGCCTGGAAGCTGAAATAAGAGGGCCTGCAGGCCCTATTCCGTTTCAGCCTATTTCTGGGCCTTCACGGGTAGGTAGTTGGACAGTAGTCAGGTAGTAGTCTTCAGGATAGCGGAGCAGCACTCAGGAGGAGCGCTGCCCAGGGCAACTTAGCGCTAGGGTCGTCTTCAGCGCTGGGCGCCATAGCTGTAGTCTTCAGCGCTGGGCGCTATAGCAGTAGTAGTAGTAGTGATACAGGAGAGAGATGACTGGCGGAGGCCAGTGGTACTTACCTGTGGCGCCATCGCTCCAGCTCCATCTTCGAGGTACCTGCATCACAGCGCCACCTTCACAGGTTAGTACTGGACTGAGAGAGAGAGAGAGTTCTTCTTCTTCCTCTTTTAAGTCCACCATCTCTTCTTCCCCTCTCGCTGCCTACTTCTCAGTATCTGTGGACTACGAGAGACAGATGTGACCTGAGACTTGACGACATTGAATACTTCTCAGTATCCGTGGACTACGAGAGACAGATGAGAGGTCAGTTGTTGTTCTGGTCTGCGCGTTACAGTATGCAACAGTTTGGTATCGGAGCGGACCTCTCATTCAGAGGACCCGCTCAATCAAGTAGCAAGATTGCTTGATCTATTGATCTCATTAGTAAATCAAGTAGGACTTCGTCAAATCTCTGAAAAAAAAAAATTCTCGCAACAACTATCTGAAAATTTCTGATATTCGGATTTCGTTTTACCTGAAAATTTCTGATATTAGTAGTTCATTTTTACTAACAAATATCTGAAAATTTCTGATAAATCGCATTTCGTTTTGTCGGAAAATTCCCGATAGTAGCATTTCGTTTCTCTGATATTTCGCATACATAGCTGAAATTTTTGAAGTTAGTATTTCGTTCTCTAGGCATATTCTCGGAAACTGAAATTATTCTTTTCTGAAAATCGAATTTCCATTCTATCTCGCAATTTTTTTTTGAAAACCGGAAATCTTGCGAAGCCTACCAATATTGCGTTAGGCATATTCGGAGGTTGCTATATTCTCAGAAACTGGATTTCGATCTTTTTCTGGAAATCGCATCTTTACTCCATTTCGCAAAAGAAAATTTCAAGATCGCAGTTTGTAAAAGCCGAAACTTTGCGGATCCTAGCCTAGATCTCGTTCATAGTACTCTTCTGACATGTCCTACTCATAATAGATCGACAGATATACCTAAAAGGGCCTTTACCCGATATAGGCCTCAGGCCTTGTAAAAATAAAGCAGCACGGGCCTTGAAAAAGTAAAGCATTGTGAAAAGGTATCTCGTCAGAGCTCAGARACGTGAAAGCAGGTCAAAGGTCAAGTTCTCTATCAACAGGCATATTTAAAACTAAGGCAAAGGGCATTGTCAAAAGACTTACCTGTTCACCAGGAGATGTGTATGTCATGTCTGTTTGGGTAAGGGTGTGTC